CCAGCCACACCTGGCTCATGGCTGAGCCTCCAACACGTCAGGGAGGCCCCTTGGGGCCTTTCCCTGGGACCCTTCTGCACTGCCCTGACGCTCTCCAGCTTCCTTCCCCCCACAGAGGGTCCTCAGAGCGTCCCTCCCAGCCCCCCGCCCCCAGCTGGCTCTCCCCTGGGCCTCCTGGGTGGGGGCCTGGGCAGGATTAAGTGAGTGACTATTTACCAMGCTCTTAGGACAGCACCTTGCTCATACAAAACCCACTGAGGTCATGACCTGACACTCCTTATTCAGAGTTCAAATGTCAGTGCTCTCGAAGGACACTCAGTGCTCTGTCCCAGCTGCCTGGCTCAGGTGACTCCCGCGGGAAGGCCCTGCCTGAGGTCTGGAGMGGTACCGGATTTCCCTAACCGCCTGGCTGTAGGGGCTGGGGTGATAGACGGCCCCTACTGGCAGGAGTCTGTCCCCGCTCTGCCTTGGCCGGAAGCTGTCAGGATGGAATCTGGACCGGAGTCATGCTGTGTGTCCTTGAGAGAGCCATGCACCCTCTCTGGTCGAGTAGTACCTGGAGGGCGGCGGAGACAGAGAAGCCCACGATGCCGGCGCTGAGGTGGGCCTTGCTCAGCGCCGCGCACATGGCGGCCACGAACACCAGCCCGTTGCCCAGGAGCTCCATGTTGGCCGCCAGCCACCTGCAGAGGGAGCAGGTGACAGCAGGGTCAGCCGGTGCTCTGTGGGTGCAAGGACTTGTTACCGTGGGTAGGTTCCTGACCTTCGCGTTTACCACCGTCCTCTATAACACCCRCTTTGTGGGACGATGGGCTCAAGTGAATACAGGTGGCTCAGAGCAGCACCAGGCACATCGTGAGCRTGTTATGAATGTCACCGCTGAGTGCTTATTTAATCCTGTCACCGCCCTGAGGTGGCTCTGGGTTGGTACATGAAGCTCAGAGAGATTGTGTAACTTGCCCAGGAACATCCAGCTAGTAAGTGGCAGAGCCGGGATTTGAACCTGAGACTCTGCTCAAAGCTCGGAGACCAGGGATGCTGAGCCGCTCCTTTGTTGCCAAGGCAACAGAGACTGGTCCAGTGGCCTGGCCACCGAGCTCCTTCCTCTGAGTCCTGTTCCCTGGCTGTGGGGGACCACTGGGGCCAGGCTCTGTACGCTCACCGTGTGAGCCCAGAGACCGACCAGGGCGTCCAGCCGTGGCTTCAGAGAGCCCTGGCCGCTCTAGTCACACGGCATGACCCCAGGTCCCCCTCTGCAGACACCGATGGCTTACGGGGTCTTCTCTGCCCCCAGGGTCTTCCTACCTGTCGACCACCAGTCGCGGGAAACTGACCCTCTGGTTTTCGTCCACGAGAGCGTCACTCTGAGCCACAAAGAGGCCCTGGGCGCGGAAGGCCCTCACCACCGTGCYGCCCTGGAACGTCTCGGCCACGTGGGAACACACAGACGAGTAGCTGGCCGACTCGAGTCGTCTCAGCTGGCACGAGGTGGCCACATACAGGCTCTGAGGCAGGAGGGGGAGGGTCGGGGAAGGGAGAAGCCAGAGACACACAGAGATGGTTCCAGAGGCCCAGGGAGCC